GGCCATGTTACAGCTTATCTTTCTACTAGCGTTAGCTTGTCACTGCAGAGGAGAGGACCCTCCAGTACCAGATATTACGAAGACTCTCAAATCCGTCCAAGATCCCAATAGCATCTCGTCTGGTGACTACGACGTCGTCGTTTTCCTGAATGACGATATTTTCAACCTGGAGAATGAGTTTAAGATACTCGGTGAAGCCCTCGTGCAATATAATGGGGTAGGTCAACAGTGACCCTGCTCTCTGTATTTTCTTCACGAATCAAAACAGTTCAAGTGGGGATTACCTTGATCACCTTAGATACCCCCAGCCTCTAGTCCTGTGGTTTCACTTAGTATCTTTAAATTTTTTGGGTTTGGTTTACTTTAGTTCAAGTTTCCTATTAAGTTTCTTACTTTACTTTTAGTTTTACCATAGGTTAGTTTCTAGCTTAGTTAGATCCCACTAAAAATCGAAGAATATACTAGGACTACTATATATTTAACTAAACAAATAAACTTAATAAAATTGCACTTTCACTAAAATTATACTTATAAACAAAATAATAAACTAAAAACGAATCTTAACTAATATCACGCCGTAAGACAGATGTCGGGAAAATGAAAGTTTGGATAATTATACTGTTCCGTAAAACAAGGCAATCCATCAGCTTCCTGCTTCTTAGAGAAACGTAAAATGAATACTGTGAAGTAGCTGATGAGGATATTATAGCTAAGGCAGTCAACAAGGTTGTAACGTCGGCGACTTTACAGTGTTATAAAAAACAACTCTAACAGGTCCAAATAGTCAAATTTAAGATTCAGTTTTGAAACATTCAGCCAAGTAAGTGTTTTTATCCTACACAAAAGTGAGTGATTAAGGCGTAGTTGAAGTTCTCGCTACAAGAGACATTCTAACCGCAACGTATGCAATCCATCAATTCCAAGACAGTGGACTGCCTATCCCAACAGATCCATTTAAAATCAGCAGATGCTTACTTGTCTCATATATCTTAAAAAATATTTTACTAGAAACGTTCAGTTGAGTCTTAATGATTGGGTCAGTTTA